AACTCAGCACCGAAATTTCCATTTAACTTCACTAAGAGGAAAGTAAAGTAACATCAGGCCCTTTTCAAAACCTGCTTTGAAGACATACTGTCTAGCCCAGAGACAGCCCTGGAACAACTCACTGTTTGTAAGCTTTTGAATGTGACAATCCCCCCAAAAGAATCTATTAAGAGATACGTAGTTTGAATTTTCAAAAACAGGAGATTTTCTGCACAGAGTTTGCCTCCTTTAGTTGATTCAGTAAACTTGATCTCTGACCTTTAAATAAGGGTTAAATACCAGATATTCTCTTCACACATCTTTTCAAAAGATGTGGTATTGCCTGGCAAACATTTCATTCTTACTCAAAATCAGCTGGCTGCAACCTGTGTTTCAGGTATAGAATGAAAGAACTTGGGAAAATTAGAATACCTTTTACTCTATGCTGTGCTCCAAGCTGGGATATCAGGTCCATTTTTAAAATTGCTGATATGTGCTATTGATGAGGCAACAGGAAATTCACTGACAAGAGGAAGTGGACTCCATTTGAACAAAAACCAAAGTGAAAATGATCAGTACCCTCTGCATTCCCTCTTACAAGTCACAAGTCTCATATTAGACTACAGATTTCCAAGCGTTTCAGGTATATTAATGATTGCATGCATTCCATTTTACACCTTGCTGTATTTTTTTTTATATCTTTTTCCTTTTAAATGGAAGGAAAACACTATTTTCTTACACAATTTAGGATGTATCACAAAGAAATGGGTGTACTACTTTTCCAATACATGGGTTCTTCAATACTTGTATAGAAAACCACAAAATTAAATGTTTAGCAGATATTATTGGTGGAGTGCTGATACAAATAAGCCTTTACAAAAAGCAATACAAAAATATTTTTCTTTTCCTCTCAACTACATAGAAAGTTTTTGCTTTCACAGCAAACAAAAATATTTGACACAGTAAAAATCCTTTTCCACTCGTGACCATCACAGAAATCTGTTATATTGTGTCTCAAAGACCCTCTTTTATTCAGACCAGTTAACACCCAGTCATGTTCTTGGTAACCAAATTTTGAATTTCCTGATAAAATATTTCTGTGTATTCATGAGTTACAAATTTTTCAGCCATTTCCCTGGTTTCTCCAGATAAACTCTTTCAACCACGTCTTCTAATTCCAACTTGCATACCATGATAGCCTGACTGTCTGGAATGCTTAATTTCTACAGACCAAAATCCAGCTGCACATGTTAAATCATTTCCTTGCACAGTCAAGAAGCAACCACCTATGTTCAGGGACATGTGATGGGACTGATGGGGACACAAGGAGGTAGAAACTATTCCTCCTGTCCACACTTTTCACTGCTCACCGTCACTCAAATCCATAGGGTTGTAGAGAAACTTCCAGCAGGCCTACCATATCTATGATTTTTAAATACTGTTATAGATTTAATGATATGAAAATCAAATAAATTATAGCAAAATTTAAGATACTACAGTAGAAAGAGTTTGCATATCAGTTCAATAATTAATTACTTTTTTAATCAGATGATTAGATATCTTCTGGAGGGAACATGAATTAGCATAATTCTGTTTTGCTGTTCATCCAGACACCTTTTTTTAAGCTGCAGGTTTGGACAAACATTTTCAATCAAATATCTGGCACATGAAACATGATCAGTTTTCATTATTAAGGGCCTATGTTTGAGTAGAAGAAATATGGAGAGAATACCTGAAGAGCAAAGAAACCTAAACCAACTCCAAAAGAAAAAAAATTTCCGAACTCACAGAAACATCTATACTTGCATTCTGGTCCTGAGAAAATACCTAATAGAGAAAAAGCTTTCTGATCATAATTTTCCCAAATTATGAAAATTTCCTGCTACGAAAAGCAGGAAAATTTGTAAATGCAATATGATGAAAATGCCAAACCTAAATAGAATCACAAGTGAACATCCATGAAAATTTCAACAAGAAATTATATAAATAGTGCACTGAATTATCTTCAGTTTATAATTACCAGCTAGTCATAAGCCACAGACACATAACCCCTTGCAATGCAATTGCCCAGCTGCCACAGTTCACAACAGAGAGCACTCCCAAGGCTATTATTTCCCTTTTTCCAGTGTATTTCTGCAACATATTTTTGAGTTTTATCTTTAGAGTCCAGCTGGAAGCACACTTCTGTTGGCAGCCAGTTTTCCCCTACAAACTCCCTCCCCATGAAGGAAAAATGCAGAATGATGGTGCAGTGGGAGGAGAAGCAGGAAAGTAAAGGGGGAAAACACATTCAGAAGCAGTAGTTCTACCAGACCTGTGTATTAGGCAGCATCTTTTTAGTCATAATAACTCTTCAAATGCACCTCATCATAAGCTATTACACACCACACCTCTCACAAGAATAGGCATGTTTGCTATGTTTCTGTGCCCTCATTTTACATAAGCAACCTTTGTTCTCCTTGTCTCAAAGTAACGAATGCAAAATCAAATGAAAGTCAGCAAGATTCATACTATAGCACATTTGTTCAAGTAGTTTTTCCAACTATGCCCAAAAGGCATCTAGAGAAGAGTAGCTAAATTAATTTCAATTACATGATCTTCTGAACTATAAACAAAAATCAGCATAAAGTTTCAGTAATAAAGCAGTCAAACATGAGTAAGGAAGCTCAAAACTCAGTTCACTTCTTTCAAAGTCAATTTAAAAGGAAAATACCTTAGGAAATCCCCACCTGAAAAGCAAAGTACTCCTTTAATTAGGCCAACTCAAGTTGACATACACAGAATAGAAGAAAATTGCAGATAGAAAAGGCTAAAACTCTCTTACACTAAAGGTAAATTATAGCATCCGAAATAAACGTTATCAAAGGAGAAAAACTGCCTTAAATGTCATAGGTTGCTCCCACTAGTAATTCTCCATATTAGTAATCTTTAAACAAGAAATTTCTCTCAGAGCTGTTTTCCAACATTTTATCTCCAAAAAAGAACTTGTAAGATGCAACAAGCCTTCTGGTTTTGTCTGCCTTGTTGACAGATTAATAAACCCTACAGTTTGCTACATATAAATATTATTTTTGTTTATATTCTCAGGTTTAACTTTCAGTGTAAGATTTAGCAAAAAGTTAATTTGCATTCTAAAAATCCTTTTCAGACCCTCAAATTCACGTGCTAACATTTTCAGCTATCAAAGTCATATGCATAAATACTGGGCTCATGCCTTTATATTTCCAGAATTAGCAGCTGAAGCTAAGATTTTTGATAATGGAAACAGATTTTGGAGTTCTGGTTTACCTGCTAAACCTCTTCCTGGAAAGCTGTGGAGCTGGAGAAAACACATCCTGCATGCAGATTTCTCGGTTGTGCAGTGTCACACCTCACCCAGGAACTGTCATTTCAGCAGAAGGAGCAATATCAACTCAGACCTAGGAGGAAATCACAGCACTCAGCAAAGAATACATTAGCTTCCTAGTTAAGGACAAGAGGAGTCAACCCACAGTCATTGCAGCCATTTCCTAATTAGAAGAGTCCTGGAAATAGAGCAACCAAAGTTCTGAACTCAAAGATCAGCTAAACACTGCAGTTATCTTCCAAGCATCCATACCCAAAATATCCACAGAGATTTATATCTAGGCAATACGTAGAGCTGCCTAAAAAACTGCACACAGAAAAATACTCTCAGAAGCCAGCAGGTTGAAGGTAATCCTCCTAAACTATTTGGGGGACTAATGAGAGCCAGAGACCTAGAACTGCAGCCTTTAAACTTTTGCTGGCCTTATAACAATATGGCCAGAAATTCTCTCCGGGAATTTGGCCCTGAAAACACTTCTCTGCCAACTGACAAAGGAGCAGGCATTTGTACTGCCTCTCTCTGAAGAAACCACATACCCAGCCAGGGCACAGACCTTGGATTGCAAACCTAAACCCACCCCCAGCTACAACAAGATATTGTGACTGAGGGGTGCTCCCAAATGTTTCCTCAAGAAGCAAAGAGCAATTCAAACACTGATTTGGCACTAGAGAATACACCTGGTAATGGAGTCACCATTTTCCCTTATGTTTAGGATTGCTCTGATGCCTGCTGAGAGGAGCAGAAAGCAGAGGGGAAGGGAGCTGCACACACTGTCAGCCTGCTGTGCAAGACACGCTGAAGTGAGGGCTGCAGGGCACCTCTGCAGAGGGGGGCTCAGCTCCAGCCTTGCCCACCCAACAGAGAAGCTGTCTGGCAGATATCTTTGTGCCCAGTGGCTTTGGGCTCCTCCATGGTGAGGCAAGCCCTGAATGGGCTGTTTTAAGCATTCAGATTTTTTATTTTGGTACTGCGTGCTAATTAAGCACCTAACCCAGCTGTGGAGTACATTTAACAGAAATACAGCAGCTTGATCAGTTTTACAGTAAGCTAATTTTGTTGTGATTGTTTTAAATGCCTACTAAAAACTATCTGCATAATTTAAGTGAGATTGAAAAATTAATTCTATTTCTTCTTATACAAACAAATGGCTCTTAGCATTTTTAGAAAGGTCCCTGGATTCTATAGAAACTGGAAATGCCATGAAGATGCATCTGCAATTATGAACAAATTTGTTTGCACATTTGCCATCAGAATTACTTTTTCCGAGATAATTTTAATATTACACCATTTTAATTTTCAGCATGGCAACTGTGCACAAGCATCATCTGTGTGGTGAATGCTGGGGTAGCTGAATTGCTTTATGGGAACTCTGCTGGGTGGTTTTCTGTGCATGTGCAAGGCAGTGTGATACTTGCCTTGCTTAGACTTGACTGCAAGCAAACCAGTTCTTTAAAACAGAGGAATTTCTAAAATCACAGAGCTAAAGGTCTGGCAAGTGAAGAAGTAAATGACAAATACCACATCAGCTGAACATAAAAGCATTCCATGTAACAGAAGATACCCACACTTTAAGACCAGAGACCAGTTTAACTCCTTAACCATGCAGGATGGCAAAACATTTGTTACATAACAGCAACTTCACATGGCATTTTTACATCCTGCCATCTTTTCACAGGAGAACAGTAGATTAGACTTCTACCGACTCTGAGAGACGGGGAGTGGAGCCAGCAGCAATATTTAGCAGAGTGACTGATTTCTGGCACCATCTAGCTTCTCTGCAACAGGAATCTGGCAGCCTGGTAGGTGCTTTTCAAAGACACTGATTGAATAATTGATACTAGTGCTATACAAATGCTCAAGACAGCACAAGAAAGAATAAGAAATAAAGTAGTTTTGGGGCTTAAGACCTACTCTCTTTTTTTTTTTCTTCAAATAAGGATTGTGAGGCAAAAATCCTGGGCAGAATACCAAAGCCAAGAGAATGCAGACTCTGTTCATCATTCAGCTTCTGACTATGCAACTCTGCCAAATATCTATAATATATATAAAAGTATTAGACAAAAAGAAGCCATAATGCAAGCAAGACTATTAATTGTTCATTTTCATGAGATATGGTATAATCTGAAAAGATCAGATTTTTTTGACCAGTGGAACTATTCCTAATTCCACTCAGGAACTGCAAAATTCCAATGATTATTCCTAACTATAAGACAGTGGATTTATTTTCATTCACTGCGCTTAAGGGGTTTTGAACACTGAAAACTTCAATCGCCCACCACCAGCTCTGTATGGAGAACTGCTGACCATTTGAGAAAAGCAGACATGTTTTGTGCTGAACGTCATCATTCATTAACTGATGAGATATACAGATTTTACAGCTTGTGCTCTGTAAAATTTTGCAGAAAAACATTTACTTGTCAGCATGGGGACATGTTTACAGACTCACACTTTGGTAAACTAGAAAGGAAGACAAATAAGGTTGGTTTATATCCTCAGTAGAAGAGGAAATGCAGAGAAAAAGGAGGAAAAAAAAAAAAAAATCTTTCTGGACTATACCAGACCAGCAAGCACAGTCTCTCCAATTCCCACAGTGTAACTTTCTTTCCATTTGCCTGAAATCACCTGCAATGTGCTTTAGGAGCTAATCCCTACACATTTGGTTTACTTGGCATAGGCCCAATAAAAGCAAGGATTCTCAAATGCCTTACAAGCCCAACCCACTTTCTCACTTCGTCTTTTCAACTGCATGTGACCACAGCTACTGAAAATAGAAAATTAGCTACATTTACATACAAGTAATACATAGGAGCCTCCTAGATGGAAAAAATGGAACACAGTTACATTCTTTTTCCTATAATCCACTTAAAGTAATATTTCTCTCCCTCAGGGTTGTAATGTATTCAAGGCAGTTTCTCAGTAAAGAGGTCCAGGGCTATTCTGCTGTCGATTCATTCATGATCAGCTCTGATTTTGTGATATCATTGAATAACTGAAGTGTAAATGCAGGACAGGCATAGCTGTCTATGTGTTTTAATGTATTTCAAAGGGTTTTTTATTTAAAGAAGAGTCTTATGCTCTCTTCTCCCTAGATATGCTGGGTTTTTAGATTCCACATTTTCCAATACTTTTGGAAATGTATTTGGTCTTTGGTTATACAAGACTAAGAAGGACCATGTATTTTTCATGAGATGGGGACATGGGATGACTGAAGATTAAAAAGTATTTGGTATGGCATGAATAAGAGTATCCAAGTGGAAAGGAATTTTAAGATTTAGATCTAAGAACTCAAATGCACCCAATGAGAACCACAGGCAGAAGTCTGAACCAAAATTTGAAACTACCCTCAAAGTCAGCACCCGTTATTTGAAGACGTTTTATACTCATTGAACAGTAACAGATCAAAATGAAAGAGCAAGCAAAGCAAAATGAGATAATGAGAGCAAAGCAGAGAACATGCTCAGAGAGGGGAAAGGGAAATTGAGACATCTGTCATTAACATCTGACTTGGATGTCTCTTAATGGGTTTATATTGAGTTCTATGCTACTCAACTGTGATTACCACAAAGGAGGAGTTTTTATATCTCAGAATATTCTGGATGGGAAGGGACTTGCAAGGATCAGCAAGTCCCACCTGAGTGAACAACCCATAGGGGATTGAACCCACAGTTTTGGTGTTTGCACCACACTCTCACCATGCGTAGAACTAAAGTATCTTAGGCTATTGCACACTGTTCACCTGAGAGACAAACTGCAAGGAATTGAACAGATTTCTGCGATATTCCTACACTCAGATTTCAATCTTCAGTGATGCACAAAAGAAAAGCAGTGGGATTACCAGAAGCAATTCCCCAGAGCGTCAGGGAAGGAGAATTTTTAAATCCCTTGGTCCTTTTGAAATTCTCTGCATGCCATTTCAGAGTAATGTATTGTTTTAAAAAGCCTGGTAAGGAATTCTCTAGAAAGCAAAAAGTTAGATTTCCTGATATGCACATATGCAAACCTCTGACTCCTGCATTCTCATATACCAAAAGGTTGCAAATTTAGTCAAAAAAACCCCAAAAAAACAAAAAAAACAAAAAAACCCACCACACAAAAAAACCCCAAAACAAAACAAAAACCATAGCCACCAGAATGTACTACATTTATGTAAATATTTTCAGAGGACACATTATGCAGGTAATCCAATATATTCATAAAGAGCTGAATGAGGTTCTACTCCTGACATTAAAATACCCAAAATAGCTGCTTCAAGATGGAAAAGAATGCAAAGAACAGAGGAGACAGTTAAAGTGCTAAAAGCATTATAGGAACCTTTATATTTTATATTCAGGTGGAGTTTGTCATGAGCAGCCCCCTCCCTTTTGGCACTGAATAATTCCCAGCATTTTCATATCACATCCCAGATACACATATCAAAGACAACTTTCTAATCTTGTAAGTGTGTTTAGAGAAAAGGAAGGAGAGCAAAAAATACCAATAAACTCCCCCTTTCACCCTTGTCCTCACCTTACTGGCCAATATTTCTTGTTTTTGTCAAATATCTGAAGAGTTCTCCTCCTAGACAGAGGAGAAGACCAAAAGAAGGTAACTGATTTGTAAGTGCATCCTATTATGCTTTTATTTGATAAACTAAGATAAATTTTATATATATATAACTAAGAACAATTTTATATATATATTTCTCCAATAACAGGCAAAATTGCAGCTCTAGACAAAAAAGTGTCTAGGACCTGCTACTTATATTGGCTTAAATGAATTTTACATTAGAGAGGAAACTAGATCTCAGAAATAATTTGTCTTCAAATTCCTCCCAGTTTTTACCACAGAAGTAGGGTGAGTAAGTATTTGAGCTGTTTGTTCTCCTTCCTCACCTCATTGTGTTTGACATTAGATTAGTAGTGCTGTGAACACCATGTGACAATAATACTGAGCTCAAGACAGGGACCTTTATGTGCCAAGAAAAAAAAATTAAAATCTACATTTCTCAATATGAAAATTCAGTTTCAGAAACATGAGACTGGTTGTACCTTTGTTTGCCCATATTCTATTCTTCCTTCCATCCTATTCACTAATTTATTTCTTCGTCAGTCTTGTACTCCATCTCCCAAGCCTTCAGTGACAGCTTTTAGAACCTTAAACCAGTGTCAATCAATAGGTTCAGGTCAGCTGTCAGATCCATGGGATCAGAAAGATCAGAACACACTTATCTAAAGTCCAAGTGCAGTTCCTTATTCAGACAGCTATGCTGCCTGCTAGTTATTGGGTGGAATTGAAAACAAAAGTTATATTAAAAGACAGCAGGATCATTATTTCTCCTTTCTGCCCCACCTCCTCAAGTGCCTGAGGTCATTTTCCACAACAAAAATGAAAGCCCTTCTTGAAAGTGTTTTTGTGCTAAACAGCAGTGGTTAATTTCTTGCAACTAATTAGTTATTCAAGTGAAAGTATAATGATCCTCCAACATGATTGAAAGTGCTTCAACTGAGTTTCCTGCTAACAGCATACTTCTAGAAAAGATGCAATAAATCAGCAGGGTTATGGAAATCTTTAAACAAAAGCAAGTCTATGACAGGAACCCATTAAAGATACAGCCATGTAATATTTATGCACCTAGCTGACTCGTGCTTTTAACCCAGCACTTTCAGCTATAGCTTTTTAGCACCTGGGTCGTATTCAGTAAGAATGAAATTCACCCTATCTGCTAAGAGCCAGCACAATGTCTCTGCTTTAGGTGTTCAGAGTATAGGGCTTAAGGGATGGAACTTCCCTCCAAATGGAATTTCATCCAGATATTTCTAAATAAAAATACAAACAGAACACCTTTGAACAGCACAGAAAATGTCATCTGTGAGCCTCAAACTCCCTGATTACCTTTAGCAAGAAAAGAGGCAGGCACTGACACAAGAATGGTTTATAAATCCAGGGAGGTATTGATGCAGAAACAAAACTCCTCAGAATAGCCAGTACCACCTATGATTGTTCAGATCATGATTTGTGATTAGGAGTGGTTACAACAATGGTGATAGGGGATCTCTTGAGACTTTTACAGAAGGTCCTGACTGTGTAAAATGCCATCCACTTACTCCTGAACCTACTAATTCATTTCAGAATTTTTATTTAAATGTGTTGGGTACTGCAGAAAAGCAAGACCCTGCGGCTGAAAAACCCATTTTGATAATGTTTGAGGTTTCTGGGTGCTACAGTTGTACTGATCTGTTTAGATCTCCAAAACAAAGAGATATTTCCCTTCCTTTTTTCACATTAAAATGTCTGCAGGTATGCTTGCATGTATTTTTAAGCTACACAAGTGCATACGAAGCAAAGAGAATTGTTTAATTTATTAACTTATTTGGCTGTATATGCTCTTCCTCATCCCATTCACTCATTTATTTCATTGCCCATGTCCCAGTCAGTCTTCCCACAGTTTTAAAAGACTGAATTTGGATTCACAAACCAATTTGAGTTGAGGACTCAAATACAATTTCCTGGCCTACCTTTCCTTGCTGTAGCAAAAGTCTGCAAAAAAGGGAAACCTTGCTGCTGTGAGGTTGGGACTCTGGGAGGTGGGAATTGAAGGACAGAGAAAAGGAAACCAGACATCACTCCCCCTTTCCCACTAAAATCAACTTTGTCTTCACGATAGGTTTTTGGGCCAATGACCACTTTCAACTCACACCTTCTGTTGGAAAAACAAATTAGGAGTCCAGCTTTATTTTGTCAATAGAAAGTTTAAAGTGGTCACTGGAGCAAAAAGCTTTTCAAAGGGTAGCTGAGCTCAACAAGGACAAGGAGGAGGATG